TTTTTTCCTCATAAGATTTTAGGATTTTTCTTTCTTTTTTGAAAGATGTTTACCCTAGCATCATTTTGGAAATAATTATTAGTGTATTACTTCATCGTGTTTTGTTCTTTTTAAGATTATTTCCAAAATTTTTCTTTTTTTAGTTGGGTTTAACAATAAAAAAACGGCTTTTTGTAGCGATTCAGAAAACCGGAAAAATCAGTTATCCGGAATAGTGATGGTACCGATCGTTCCGGATAATCGGTTCCCTACTGTATATATATATACATAGTTATATATATATATATACATACATACACACACACATATATATATATATATATGTATACATGGATATATTGTGAAAAGTGATTACTCTAATTTGAAATTCACACATCATAATACTGCATTAAAAATGTGGTTTTTCAAAATCATCAGGAATTTCGTAGCAATAACCATTGAAAAGTTTATTACATAACAAAATAGACTTGCAATGGAATGTGTGCAGATTGAACGAATTAAAAAGTAAAGACTCAAATTTGCAATTGAAAATTTTCAGAAGTTTTTAAGGGGAGAAAAAAAAAACCAGTGCGTTCAGAAGCTCCCGCGAGGTGCGGGTTTTTATCTCAATTTACACTAAAAATCATTGCTAGACAAACAGAAAAGTCTCCAAACAGTCTCATTTTCTTGTGAATAATTGCTTTTTTTTTAGCTTGCTCTTAAATTGCTTTTTTCTTTCCATAGCCACCTCATGCCGAAAGTAGTTCCATTTTAGTCGCCTGCGGCAACCCTGCGTTTCTGCGTTAAAAAAAAACGCTAACAATCAATTTTTCAACAAAAAATAAGTACCTTTAAAGTACTTAAAAAATATTTTTTAAGCTCTATATACATTAACAAAATACAAAATAATTTTCGAAGACTCTACATGAGTTGCACATGAGAGTGCAAGAATCTCACGAAGCCAACTCAGTAGCCACACAAGTATTTCATCAAACAAGTAACATGATTGACGGCAGGCCAAAATGGATTGAATTGAATGTAAGATTTAATGGCACAAGCATACCTGCCAACTTTTAATCCCTTCCATTATGATTTTTCCCAGTGGTATTAAAATGGAATAAAAATTTCATTTTAAAGAAAAAAAATACGTTGTATTTGAAAAAGCTTAAGCTGCTTACCATGATAGTAACGCATATTAATATATATGCTTAATTTTTTTAAGAATAGTGGTGATAAAAATCATCTAAAAATTTAATTTATGAAAGAAAAAATAGTATATATTTACTACCACTTTAAATATAAAAATAAAATTTTACGCCAAATGCGTAAAAGTTGGCAGGTATGCACAAGGTCCAGAGAGAACATGCTGCGCCAGACACACGGTTTTAAAAACATATTAAAAGGTAGAATATAGTACAATTACACAATCAATAAGTATAGTAAAAATGATGAGAATTCTGAAACAGTGTAAATGCAAGTATTTTTATACGCGGATAAAACTTAATAAAAATGGTTAGCATGATAAATCTCGTATATACTGTTTAAAATACCAATAGTGCGAAGAAAAGCGATGATGGTTTTCATCTAACAAGTCCTTTATGCATAAAATGGAGCTACCAAAAAAGGTGAGGCAAAGCTGGCTAAAACATGGACAAAGTATTAAAATGTGATGAATCGTGAGTAAAATGTTGCAATTGTTGCGTTCGGGAGGAGGTTCTCCAAATAGCAAATGAAGGTGAGTAAGTCAAGTATGTCCTACTCGCAAGCGGGTGAGTTTGACATCTGCCCTGCGCATGTGAAGTGCAGGTCAAGGCTCACAAGTAGGTTTAACAGAATGTAATTTGTTTTCGCCTTGTAGGTCCGAATAAGTTGCTGCCATAAACTGAACAAGTTTGCGAATGTGGTTTTTTAAATCAGAAAATGGGACAGAATGTTATCGGAGAAGAGGCAGATCGTTCAGCAGAATCAGCTTTGTCATTTCCTTTAATACCTACATGACTGGGAATCCAGCAAAATAAAATTTTAAAACCCTTCTCGTATAGAGAAGTCAATATATGTTGAATAAAAATTGGATGAGCTTCGTTTCTCATATGTTCTAACTGTCTTAAAACAATCAAACTAACCGAGTATATACAAAATTTTCTAGACGAATGCGAAGAAATGAGTCTTAAAGCTAAAAGGATAGCAAATGCTTCCGCTGTAAAAACAGAGCAAATTTCAGGAATGTTGTAGCTGTAAGTAATATCAGCCACAACAATCCCACAACCAACATGTCCAGGGAACTTAGATCCATCTGTAAAAGCTGCTATGTATTGTATATACCAGGGGTCCCCAACCCTATGCCCGCGGGCACCATGGCGCCCTTCGATCGGATTAGGTGCGCCCGTTGCTTGTGCCCAACGATAAAATACTTCAGTTTTCCATTTTCCCATAAAATGTTATGCAATATATTTTGCTTTTTCAATATGGATGATAAACACAACCAAAATAGAAATCGCCCTCCCCACAGATATAAGCACAAAGCAAAATATAGCTGACCACTCGCAAATTGCATATATGAACTCATACTTTGTATGTTTTGCAAGCAATTTGGTAATAATTTATTTTACAAGGATATTAATACTAATTATATTCATATGTTAAATTAATTTTTAAAATTAAATTTTTTGTGCATTATATGCAGTGTGTATTATTTCCTATGTCTACCAACTATAAATTTATCTTGAAAAAATAAATGGTGCCCGCCATTCGACCGATATTCTGGTATTTGCTCTTTGGTACAAAAAGGTTGGGGACCCCTGGTATATACTGATGATGATGGAAAGTGAACAGCGGTTGAAAAATGCTAGGTGAGACATTAGACTTACTGTATGACACAAATGAGCAATCAAGATAATATGATGAAATAGTTCATGGTTGGATGAGAAAATAATTTACAAATTGTGATGGTATATCACAAAAATCAAATGTCTGAAAGAGTGATCACATGCGAGAGTTAAAAGGTGGTATATATGAGAGTCGTGCATCATATAATCGTTGTAAACTTAGTGGAATAATCTCATATCGAAGAGGGTTTGATGAAGATGACATGACGCAAAAGTAAATTGCGAAAGAGAGCTTCACGCGTCTGAAATCAAGAGAGGGTTGATGACACACAGCATACAAACTCTCAACAGGAGAAGTGCGAAATGCTCCACTACATATGCGTAACGCCGTATGATGCACCGTATCTAGACGTTTTAAGTTAGATGCAGAAGCCGTTCCATAGACTGCACAAGCGTAATCTAGGCATGAAAGTATTAATGCTTGATACAAACTGAGTAAAACTACACGATCCGCACTCCATAAGGTATTTGAAAGTACTCGCAACATATTTAAGGTTTTCTCAAGTGTAGAATATGAGGTAAGAAGGTGAGTTTTTCATCAAAAATTACACCTAAAAATTTTGTTTCTGACACAACTGATATGACATTATTAATGGAGATTACAGGATGAAGATTAATGTTACGCAACCGACAAAAGTGTATACAAGAACATTTATTGGGTGAGAGAGTATGCCCGTTTCGATCACACCATTCTAAAATCTTATTAACAGTAAGCTGCAGTTGACGTTCGATAACGCGCATATCTGATCCTGCGCATGACACATTTAAATTATCAACATAAAGTGAACCAAACACGGAAGGAGGTAAAACTTGCAAGATGAGAGAAACATGAACAATGAAAAGTATGACGCTTAAAACACTGCTTTGAGGAACCTCTTCAGCCTGAATAAAAAGGTCGGAAAATGTAGTACCTAATTTTACCCTAAAATACCGTTTCAACAGGAAGTTCTTCAGGAAGATGGGTAGATTACCACGAAGTCCCATATCGTAGAGCGTCTTAAGGACTCTGTATCGCCATGTCCGATCGTAAGCCTTCTCAATATCAAAGAAGATAGAGACAAAATGGTTACGTCGGACAAAAGCGTTACAAATTCGAGACTCAAGAGCTATAATATTGTCAATCGCGGACCTACCCTTCCGAAAACCGCTCTGGAAATTAGGAATATGA